CCAGGATCGCTTCTGTTGTAAAGCCGACAGTCGGCTCTACAAGTTTAAACAGAGTCCCGGCGGCAAAAGTCGCCGGGAGTCTGTTTAAACAGCCCCGATGCTGGCGACGTACACTGTACGTCGTCAGTCACGAAGGGGTTAATAGACCAGTAACCATCATTATCAGGAGAGGTCTCCAATAGCAGTCCTATTTCTCTGATGACAAGTTACATGTCGCTACACTGAGCCGCTGAGGTCTGCCTGGTGTGGCTAGCCGCACTCTGTTGGTCGCACCAGCGCCTACGACCTATTTAAAATGAAGTAAAAATATCGGTCATGGTTTCCTCTGCTTTTAATGTTTTGTAACCACAAGCTCGGTAAACTAGTCTTCCAGTTCTTATTTATTTATTTTTTTATTACAGGTATTTATATAGCGCCAACAATTTACGCAGCGCTTTACATAGTTGCACATTCACTTCAGTCCCTGCCCTCAAGGAGCTTCCAGTCTAAGGTCCCCATCTCACATACATGTTGGGCCAATTTAGACAGGAGGAAACCCACGCAAGCAGATGGTGGGATTCGAACCCCCAGTGCTGCAAGGCAGAAGTGCTAACCACTACGCCACTGTGCTGCCCGTAGTTCTTGGTACTTTACGAAGGTTTGACTATTTACCTTTCCTGCCGACGTTAAATCATTAATCCTAGCAGTTTTAACTCCTATTTGCTAAGGGATGGACTTCTAGTTTATTTTTAGATGGGGTTTGACTTATGCTCTATGACAACGCCTGCAGCTTACAAATGAAGGCATATCTGTATATACTGATCATTGCACCCTCGTTTGCTTTTCATTCCCCTGAAAACCATGGCTGGTGTTCAGTGTGATCAGAATTTTGCAAAGAAATTCTCACCAACGGTTCCAAGGCCCCGAAGATAAGTTGTTTCAGAAGTCAAACAAAATGGTTGTTTTTGGTATAGTGAAAGGGAGGACATCGGTCTCTATCAGCAGAGATAACCCAGTGAAGGAACACTTGGCCGTTTCCACTTCTGCATTTAAATTGGAGACTCCCCCCCCGCCCCCTCCCCACCACACACTCACACACTATGTTTTGTGTTCCCATTCACGCAGCATACCCAAAATTAATGTTTACGTTTTCAGTTATTTCTTTGGAGCATGATTGTACATTGTACTCTGGGCAGCTTGCATTGTGAAGATAAGGCCCAGACTGGAGGGACAAGGCTGGGATACCATGCGTTATCCTCGAATATACCACTAAGCTTTAAGACCTTTTAACCCTTTCTTAGGAGAGATGGTCTTAACCATCTAGGTAACTGATGAGATCTGCCAGCACAGTATAGGCATGGTAAATTATGGTAAACACCACTGCTCTGCCTCCTCAAAAGCATTGCATGAATGGACAGAGCTAAATCAAAACTTTCAGCCCTGGAGCTTTCAGAAAAGGGCAATGTTTAATTACTTTATGCTATGTGGATTGGAACATGCAGGAAAAATAAAGTGGGTATTATCCCAAATTGCCTGCAAAAGAGGAAATTCACTGAGGGCTCCTTACATGCTATTACCGTCCGGGTGTGATCCTGCATTCTATCCCAGTGCACTGCACCACACCACAGGTAGTGTACACTTTGTAAACTCTAAAGTTTAAAAAAGTTAACAGTGTCTTGCGTTGTACCAGCTCAAGACATTATGGATCACCGCTGCCTTCCAGCGTACACTAACCACGCGGTAAAACGCAGCATTTTACAATGTGAGTGTAATGGAGTAGATATCTTGCTGCACTCCTTACCGGAACAGTGGTTAACCTGTAAAGACAAGTGGGTGCTTGCAGGGACCACAGATGGCACCGTGAACAACACAGAATTAGCAAAAATGTCACCAGCACACCAAAAAGATTTTAGCAAAAGTCCATTTAATGACATTGCCTTTCAATTACATGGCAATTTTTCATGAAATGGACTTTTGCTGAAATCTTTTTGGTGTGCTGGTGACATCTTTGCTAATTCAGTGTGAGTGTAAGTCACAGCTCACATCTACACCTTTTTTTTTAGTGTGCTTCATTTTTGGTGCAGTTCCCTATATTTTCAGTTTTGGATAGATTTGGGGTAACGGACGTATTTACTTTTTTTTCCCATCGCTTTTGTTGTCGGTGATCTTGTGGGGAAGGGGGAGGCGTTCACTTCATCTTTGTGTTCCTCTGCTAGCCTGTGACAACAGGTAAAGGAATTCAAGAAGCCGTTGTCACCGAAGCAGGAAGTAACGGATTTTCTTTTTTATCTGACAGATTCTGACCTTTCACCATTTTACTAAAAGTGTTTTGTGGCAGTCTGTATCACCGTTGGGAGTTTTGCCCGCACTTTCTGTCTGGATAGGAAGTGTGGGGAAATCTCCCTAATGGATACACAGACCACAAATAAAAACCTGGCATAGGTTCTACCTATTGGAAGAATGTTTCAGCGCTGGTTTGGTTTTAGCAACGGTTACAACAAGAAAGCCACATATAATGTGATATAAGCCAAACAGCATGACACTAGAAAGTAATGTTGGATGTGGTGTTACAGTGGAAAAATTAACTCCTAAGGGCCCTCTTGTAGTTGTCGCTGATGTTCTTTCGTGTTTCCATTAAAGGTTTACTTCATATCTATCTGCTGTCAGCAAACATGCATGTGATGGTGTTATGGTAGACTGGAGAGAGGCCTTGCTAAGGAGTGCTGGGACATGGATAGAGCCGCATTCCAGAACTGTTGTCGGTTTCCAAGAAAGTTGATGTTTTGGGTTCTAAAATCTGGTCATAGCTAGTGGCAGGATGAAAAATCCAGATAAAACTTTGTTGTGCCCCGGCTGATGCCCAGCAGTTTGTGACATTGTCATAGTGTCCTGCTATTGTCACCTTGCTTGAAAGTCCACATTATATATATA